CTATCTATCTATCTATCTATCTATCTATCTATCTATCTATCTATCTAGGACAGGGTTTCTTTGCAGTCCTTGGCTGTCTTGGAATCACTTTGTAGACCAGACTGATCTAGAACTTACAGCAATCCACCTGTCTCTGCCTCCCAAATGCTAGGACCAAAGGCATGCACCAGCACACCCAGCTCTAAGATCACTTTTTTTTTTTTTTATCTAATAAGAAAATGTAATGCCCTTTCTGCAATGTCTTTTGATAATTTTTAATGCAAAATCGCTACAATCCAAAGTATCTGATTCACAGAAGGATGCATTTTAGGCTGAATGTGTTACCGTGTGTTCATGACTCGCCTTTTTTCTAGAAACAATGTGAGCAACAGAGTTCTGTCTTCTGACGCAGCATAGGCATGTTTGGATTCTCTGTGTAACATTGTGTGTGTCTTGGGTGAACTGGTTGCACATCACAGGTGTGCACTGAGTGACACTGGAGGGTGTCTGCAAGTGGTATAACTAGCAAAAATGGCAGGCACCATCTTTAGAATGACTACCTTCTTTGATGCTTAACATTGTCTCTGTGTCTCTCTACTCTGTAAAGTTCTTAGTGTCGGGAGCAGCCAGGAACAGTCTTGGTTTTGAGATGGAATTTCTTTGTTTGCAGCAGTGAATTGTACTTTTGTTTTAGTTTCCTGCTTGGGTACATTTGGGAAGTACTTTATAAAATATAAATACTTTCACCTGTAAGGCACACCTTAATTCTGAAAACAAATTAAAGCAAATAAAATGTTTCTCGAACCTCAAAAACCCACTAGTCTTGGTTAAAATATAGGACTAGGGCTCTGACAGTGAGGATCTTACTATCTTACTAATCTTACTAATTTTTTTTTTTTCTGGGGTGGGCAGTATCTGTGGGTAGGTGGCATGCTTGTATGTATAAGCGTTTTCTTGTGTTCCGGTGTATGTGGAGGCCAGAGATGGACCATGGTTATCTTTCTCTTTTGCTCTCTACCACCTTATGCATTGAGGCAGGGGCTCTCTGTGAACCTAGAGTTCATTGATTCTGTTAGTCTGACTAGCCAGCTTTCTCTGGACACCCTCAGCCTCTTGCTCACACCTTATCACCCCTAAGTGCTGGACTGCAATGAGCTGTCACACTCACCTGGCATTAATGTGGATGACGAGGGTCCACACTTTCACCCTCGTGTTTGTGATCCAAGGACTTCCATGGAGTTGTCTCTCTTGCATCTTGTTACCAAATTAATTTGTTGAATGAAGAACTTACTTAGCCCTTTCCTTTTGGTCCTATGCGTTTCAGGTCCTATTCACTGGAATGAATTTTTCCCCATTGCTGATGGTGATCAGCAGTCTCCGATTGAGATTAAAACCAAAGAAGTAAAATATGACTCCACACTCCGGCCTCTTAGTATCAAGTATGATCCTACCTCAGCTAAAATCATCAGCAATAGTGGCCATTCCTTCAATGTTGACTTTGACGACACAGAGGACAAATCAGGTTGGCTCTCTTTGTTTATTTGTTGTAAGACTTTGTATGGTTAGATTTATTCTTTTTTTTTTTTTCATTCTAAAAATTTCAAAATTGAAACATATTTTTTTCATGTCAATTTAAATGTTATGTATTTGGACCTTAAGATAATATTACCATGAAAAAAACAGAGAAAATGTGTAGAAAAAAATGAATTTTGGATGATATTTTAAAGTTGGTCTTAGGTTGTTATTACTTAATAATGAAAACATTGGAGTTTAATAGTAATTTCACCTGACTGGTTCCTGTGGTGTTCTAGGATGCTTCCATTCAGAACTTCCCACACTGTGCTTTAACTGCCAGGTTAAAACAGGTTGCCAGGTTGGCACCTCTTGACTTCTTACATTAGTGATTTATTTGGAAGAGATTTCTTTTTAGAAATTCTAAACAGCAGTAAATAATAGCAGGTATGGCTTTGGAGAAATCATTACTTGTTTTGAAGAATAAAATGGAGACAATAGTTTATTATTTACTGACCTGGGATTGAAAATGAAATTAAAATTGGTCATGTGAAAACACAAAATCATTTTCATTAAAATTAATTATTGTTGCCTACCACTGTGGACCACACCTGGAATTCCTTCACTGAGGTTCTTACCACTCTCGTTGGCAGTAGGACCTGGAAGAATGGAGCTAATAAATGAGGCAGACTAAGGTCTCATGAAAGAGTCACCTTTATTTAAAGCATCAGTCAACTTATACTCTACAGGTTAACTGGAGTCACATTCGTAAACTGTCCAATCACAAGGGCAAGCCACACGTGGTAGGCAAGCCTCACTTGGCAAAAACATGTTTTTCCGTAGAGACATATAGACGATAATGGCAGCAAGCAATAACGAGTAATCTGAAGTAAACTAGCTCCTATTCACTACACCTGGGAGAAGCACAGAACAAATTTCAAGAACAATATTTTGAAGGAAAGGAGGTCACAAAACTTTCTTGTTTTCTTACATGCAAAATTGCCGTTATTAATCATGTACCATGGATTAGCTGTTTATTATGGACCCTAAAAACCTAGATGCTTTAAGCTTGCTTTTCCCTGACCTGATTCTTTTGGAAGAGTACCATTCATCAGGACAGTCCTCTCCACAATTAGGCATTCGCTGAAATACTAACCTGTCCAGTCTGGATATGTAACCTGTAAAACAATCCACGCCACTGCTAACCCAACTTTAACAGTGACCTCTACAGTGATTATTCTTGGATGTCTCTCTAACAATGTGTGTTTTTTGTATCACTTTCTCCAGAGCCAGCTTGCCTGACTCTCCTCCCAAAGTCAATTCCACATTGATTACTCAAGCACTCTAATCTCCTTTCTATCTGCAAGGGAATGACTTTTCGCCCAGCTCAGATTCTGTTATGCAACAGCAAGGAAGAAAAGTACAATAGAGCCCTTGACTACTTTCCTTTAGATGTCATTCCGTTTTCAGTCAATGCAGGCTGTGCAAATGAACATTACTGGCGTCACTCAGGGGAACCTTGATGAAACTGCTTGAAGACAAATCAGCTATCTTATCCATTTATTCATCAGATCTTTGTGCATCTTCTCTGGCAGTTATTAATGGTACATGGTTGTAAAAGCAGGATCCCAGTCTCTTCTTTCATATACGTGCAAACCGGTGCAAGTAGAAGCTAAGGAAGGAATGTGTTTCACAGAGTAATATAAGAGCAAGCCCACAGACTGATCTAAATGTTGGTCTTTTATTATTATTATTATTATTGACAGTGCTTTGAAAATAGCTATCTTTTGGTATTATCATTAAAAAATATTTTTATTTATGTATGTGCTTGTGTGTGTATGTGTGTATTTGTGTGTATATATTTCTCTGGATGTGTGCCTGACATGCATTTGGGTGCTAATGGAGGCTAGAAAAGGCTAGAAAAGCTCCTTCCTTGGAGCTGCCTGCCACCTGACATGAGTGCTGAGACCTGAATTTGAGTCTTAACTTTTAAGTCATCCCTCCCACACTGCCTTTCTGCATTATAAAGAAACTTTTCTTTATAAAGGTGGATACATTTTGAAATATAAGACTCTGAAGAGTAACTTAAATATCTGTTGTTAAGTCTGTCTACTCTTTCTAATACAATTCTGTTGTATGTTGGAGTTTAGTGATTATTATGGTATGTTCAGCCAGCATACAAGCTGCAGCAACCAACAGAATTAGGCAGAGAGAGTTTAGGACTCCCCTCTCTTCCCCTGCCTTTCCCTCCCTTTCTTTCCTCCCTTCTTTTCCTTTTCTTTAGTTTGTTGCACAGTTTACTCACTGGATAGCTCGGGGTGCTGATATTACAGGTGTGTGCCACCATGCGTAGTTTAGGACTCTTTTGTATTAAAGTGTGATAAAATTTTATTATCATAATCTCAGAGATAATATTTGCTGAGGGAAAACTCTGAAATATATTTCATCAAAGTGACAAAGACATCTTGAATGTAAAGAAAATTAACTTCTTGCATTTTATGTTTCCTCACCAACACAGCCTCTTAGCACAGCCGGTGTGGCATTCTTTATGGTTATAGCAACAACCGTACATGGTAGCAATGGGTAGTGCATCCACAATGTTGTTATGTGCTAGAAGTTAGAAAGGATTTTGCATACCATATTTCTTTTGTTTTCACAGTAGTCTTAAGGAGGTTGCATCATTTTTTCCAGTGGTTAGACATATAAGTGATAACTTAGAAGGTAGTGTTTGTCCAAGACCACACAGACATAGAAAGTCCAGACCCTGGCCTGAAAAGCCTGTATCTAATCATATAACCTGGCCAGCTCTCCCAAGCTCACTATGAACCCTTTTGTATTTCAAATTCTTATTCAGAAAGTCTGGCCTGCTCCCAGTTACACAGAGTGGATTTTCACTTTTGGGAATTCGAATAGTTTCTCTTTGCTTTCTGTGGGTGAGTTATGCCTTCCCAAGTTTTCTATAACACACTACATGGAGGCCTCTGTTTCCAGTGTTTTGTTTTCATTCCTCCTATATGTATCCCTCTTGGAAACTGAATGACACATTTCTAAGGACAGCAATGTGCTTAGTGGTTCAGGGGGAGGCTCTGGGTTTTGATGGAATACCTAAATATGTTATTTATTCATTTTGATACCCCTTTAAAATGTGTCGGTATTTAGTTCTGCGTGGAGGTCCTCTCACTGGAAGCTACAGGTTGCGGCAGTTCCACCTGCACTGGGGGTCAGCAGATGATCATGGCTCTGAGCACGTGGTAGATGGAGTGAGGTATGCTGCAGAGGTAAGCTGCTCACAGTGCCCACTGCATAGGGGAATTCTTCCACGGCCCAGGACATCTTCAGCTGCTTAGGCATCTCAGTGTCTGGGAAAGTTCCATTCACCCAACATGACAGCTTCAAATGTGCCTTTCGTAGCCTTAAACTAACCCCGAGAGCTCAGTATTTCTTATATGTTTAGAAATGAGCAAACTGAGTTTAACATATGGTGTCACATGCCTGTAATCCCAGCATTGGGGAAGCAGAGGCATCAGGATCAGAACTTTCAGCCCAGCAGCCTAGGATACTTGACAAGATTCCATCTGATAAAATAAAACCAAATAGCAATAACACCAAAAATATCAAGACGTGTTTGTTGGAGTGGGAGGAGTGATAAATCAGAGATCAGGAAAGAGTAAGTTATTTATCCATCTAGGAAGAATTATGATGGGTTTATTGAAGGTGACATTAAATTTTTTTTCTGTTGGAATTTCTGAAAGGCCAGAGGGAAGCAAAATATTTGTATTATGTTCAGCTTTGTACATATTTCATCCAGATCCAAACCATCAGAAATAAATAAAGCTCATACTCTATACATGACAGCTGGGGTGCTTAGGAATAAACTGTAAAGACACAAACTCCAGATTGTATTTTCAGGTGTCTAATGCAACCTCTGCTCACTATTCAGAACATCAGGAGACAGCAGGAACTTAATGGTCATTGTCTTGTTTGCATTTTGAGGGTAAGGGACCACTTTTTGTTATAACTGCATTCTCTAGGAATTCCCTGCCTATTCTAATCTTCAATTTCAAGGACAGACTGTGATATACCTCATTTTCATGCCATTAAATAGCACTGAACTTCACCCAGAGATGAAAGCCAAATCTTCCATGCCTCAGTGAAGACTGACTAAAACAATCTTAGCCTGTGATTTTTTTTCTAGGCAATACTGGGCAGTTACCAGTCCTTACAGATTCCCTTCATCTTCTCATACTTTCTGCGATATGGTTAGATACCTAGGATAACCCACTGTCCAGAAAATCTAGCAAAAGGAACTTCTTTTCCAGTTTTATTGTTTGTATGGATACCTGGCCTTTGAGGCCATCTAACATGTCCCTTTCTGTAACACCTGCTCTGTCCTCAGGGGAGAGGAATGACGTGATAGTTGCTCAGTCTTCTGGCAATAGTGATAGTGGGTGATCTGAAGAGTGGTCACGGGGTAGGGAAAGTCTTCTTCAAGATGGCATGTAAGTTGAGCCAAAAGGACAAGGAGAAAACACTGTGAGAAAAATATAGACTTGGAGTGCTTTCCAGGGAAGGGCAATAGCAAAGAAAAGTGCTGTGCAGTAGGAATGAGGTCAGCATGCTCAGGGAGAGATAAGCTTCCCTTTATAGGACTGGGACTGACTGGTAAGAGAGAAAGAGGGGTGGGCCCTGTCCTCCAGAGCAATGGCTTGTTCTGTTTTCTAGTCTCTAAAACATGTCTGACGGCCAAGTGGGCCACATTCTGTGTGGGGCAAATGTTGAAGGGGGGAGACAAAGCAGATGACTGTGAGGAGTTGAGGTGAGCAGCAACGGTAATCTGGTAGGAGTGTGATGGTGCTGGAGAGCTCTATGGCATACTTGGTAGGCCGTGCCAGTGGGACTGGCCTGTACCATGGGTGCTGAGCTCCAGCAGGCTGTGGATACAAACCTGAACTTTAAAGAGGATGTCAGTGCTAAAGATGCTAACATCTGGGAGATAGTCATATTTGGCCTAAGGTTCAGGAAAACCTCTTCCTGCTCAGCAGTAGAAAGAGCTCCACTCTGTTAATTAGCTTTCCTAGGCACCTTTGCTTAAAGACATAGCTGTAGTTATTATGTCCCATTATGAAATAGAAACAAAAGAAAACAAAGACACTTTAAATTATAACATATGAAAATGTTACATTTCAACTGTGATTTGTGGCAATTTAGAGAGATGTTAAAGAAACCTGATCCTGAAAAATTTTATACCAAGACATGCAATGGTGGTTTGAATGGGAATGGCCTCCATAGGCTCGTGTATTTGAGCACTTGGTCCCCTGTTGGTGACCCTGTTTGGAAAGGTCTAGGAGGTGCAGCCCTGCTGGGGGAAATGTGTCACTGAGGACAAACTTTGAGGTTTCAAAGCCTCTTGCCATATTCCGTGTTTACTCTCTCTGCTTTGTGATTGTGGTTCAAGATATGAGCTCTAAGCTTCCTGCTTCAGCCATCATGCCTGGTGTCTTCGTGCCACACTTGCCCACCATCACGGTCTCGAACCCTCTGGAGCCTTAGGCCCTGATAAACACGCTTTCTGTAATTTGCCTTAGTCACGGTGCCTTATCACAGCAACAGAAAGGAACCGATGCACGCGCAAATCTAAAGACTAGGTTAATATTCTGTGGAAACAATTTTTGTTGGGTCGGAACTATCCTCCATGAGCCTGTGTATCAAAGGCTTCCTCTTCAGGAGTGTGTTATTGAGAGATTGATGAACCTTTAGAGAGGAGTGGCCTTAGAAGAAGTCCTTAGGTCATTAGCAGTGTGCCTTTGGCAGGTAGTGGGACCTTGTGCCTTCGCGTGCTTCTTTTGCTTCCTGGTGATGAGTTTTGTTCTCCCAGGCATTGGAGCTGAGATATGCATCTTTGCCACAGACCAGAAAGCCCGGCATTACATGATCATGAACCTTTGAAACCAGGAATCAGAATAAGATTTTTCTACTTATAAGCTAATTATCTCAAGAAAGATGAAAGTTGACACATTAATGCAAGAGAAGCATAAATCAGATATCTTCAGTCATGGTAGATTTTTGTTATAGCACTTGGCAGCATATTTTACATATCACAAACATTCAGTTTAAAAAATGCCAAAGTTAAACAGTACTATTATTTAGAAATGACTTTACCAATAAGAAAGAATCTTTTTGTTATATTCTTAAACAGAGTCTCACAATATAGCACTGTCTGGTCTGAGCCTCACTGTATAGACTAGGGTGGCCTAAAACTTACAGAATCTACCTGTTTCTGCTAGCACTCAAATGCTTGGATAAAAGGTGTGTGCTACTACGGCCCTGTGGGAAGAATCTTATTCTGATTATTGTGAGAGCTAGTTTCTTATCATCACCTCAAATTAAGGTCCCTGATATTCAGGAAGTATGCGTTTGTTAATTTGTTTACTTTTAATGCAAAAAAAAAAATTCAATATATAAAAGTGATACCAGTTCCTCTGTGAAGGTATTATAAAGCTATGTGGGAGAGAAGAGGATGTTTTTAAAAACAGATTTTTCTCACTCTGGTTTCTGATCATATTTCATACAGTTGTTTAGCCAGCAAAAGGTTGTCTACAGAAGAGATTTCCTTCTCTGTATTTACTCACTCATTTTCTAACCAGTTGTGTTCCTAACCCTTTGATGCTGTTTCTCACTAAGCAAGCTATTTAAGGAGTTGTTATAATTGGCACAGAGCCATTTGAAACAACTTCAGCACCCTCATCGGCCCATCCCCACAGTGGAACGTTCTTTATCTCTTCCAAGCACTGTGAGCCTTATTTCATCATTCAGTGTTTTCAGGGTTCTTTCCTCCCCCAGATATCTCACACCAACTTGGAACATGATACAGAATCTACCTTTGTATATTTCTATCTGGATATCCCTTTGTATCCCTTGATTATACATGATTGTTGCATTATTTTATAGTTTTATAGTCGACTGTCAGTGATAATTCTTATCTAACCATAAACTCCCCATAATAGTTGCCTATAAAATGTGGTGTTTGAAGGTGAAAGTATTTATTTGAATATAATAAATTCTCTGTGACAATTGGATGTGAGGGTGATTTGAGTATGAAGGCTGAATGACTGGCCCTTTTCCTGAACTGCCAAACAGATCCATAAGGATTCTTTTCTGAGGTGGTCGCTGCTATCATCAGGTCCCTGCCTATAACAACATGGCCTGGCCTTTACCATTTATGATAGGAACTAAGTCTTTTGGCATGGCATGTTGATTGCCCTTTGGCTTCTCTCTGTCTTTTGGTAGTCAGCATCGTTACTGTCGTATTTCTCTGTGTTTGGGATACTTTACTGATTATACAGTCTAATGTGTTCGTTTTCTTTGGGTTTTGCAAATGTCTGCTGTGTGAGAATTAAGTTGCAAACTAGGTAGAGTCTTTTCATGAGTCTCAAGTTCTTTCACTTCTCTATTCCTCCTGCTAGCACCAGCTGCCCTTTCTCTTTATGCTCAGACGCCTTTTATTCTTTGGCACAAAATCTCTCTTTCTCCATCATAACTTGTTCTTGGAAAGATTGGAATGTATTTACATAAGGCAGTAAATGTAAACTGTGTGTGTCAGTCAGCTCAATACAATCGTGGCAATATTGTAGCCTACATCAGAACACTACTCCACAGTGTATGCAATTATCATTTAACAGCACAAATAATCTAACAACAAAAATATTTATCACCAAAAAAACCCATTTATCTAGTTCCAAAATAGTTTATCATATGGTAATGCAAATTTCTCAGCCACAAAACATGAAACTACAATGATGAACATCTAACAGGTCAGTTTCAGAAGCAACCTTGTGATTCTCAGGAGCCACTTTATAGGAAGTTGACTTCTCCCACCTGTGGAGCCCAGGCACATCAGTGGGCTCTGTGAGCAGCTGGAATCTGACACATATTCCTTCTGGTCTCATTTTTAAGATTAAATTGGGAGGATAAATTCATAGTCTGCATGAAGAATTCCTTCTACAATTAAGGGCTCTGCACTAGACACTGACATCAATGCTTAGCTTGGCATGTTTATGCAAATGTTTGAACTATGTTGTGTGTTTTCTTTCCAGCTCCATGTTGTCCACTGGAATTCAGACAAATACCCCAGTTTTGTAGAGGCAGCTCATGAGTCGGATGGGTTGGCTGTCCTGGGAGTATTTCTACAGGTGAGAAACCACTGTTTCATTTTATTTTAAATAGCAAGACATTCAACTAGTTTTAAATAGCAAACTAGTTCTAAATTAGCATTTTCCTTTTGAATTAAAAAGTTTTATAATAGTTTGGGAACAGGCTCAAATTATTTTTCAAATTGCCAGTTGAGGATTTGTATGTGAGTAGCAACTGCTTCATCAGCAAGAATAGCAACAGAAGTAACAGGTGAAATCCTAAGAAGAAATCTAGGTTCTTCTGGTTCTTGATTTCAACACTTAGAGCCCTTAGAGGAAAATTCAGTCTCCTGATTCTTGAGGCACTTGCTTGACCACATTGGCAAATCATCTCAGAAAAACTGATTAGGTTGTTTTCGAAAGAAAAAAAAGAGGACTGTGCTTCTCCTATTCTAATATTTGTGTGTGAACAGGAAAGTCCTCCATCACACCTGGGGACAGTTTCTTACAGGGTGTGCACTTTTTCCATGCCTCATTATCTGTGTGGTGTTGTAACTTGTGAAACTGGGGTGGGGCTGTGAGGCAGAGACTGGGAGTGATGTGGGAAGCAGAGGCAACTAGGACTTTATCCATGAAGTCAGCGTAGTAGGAGCGGGGTCTAGGAATGACAAGAGAAGATTCTCGAATCTTATAGGGTTTTAAATCTTTTAATATATTGAAAATACTCCTAGTAATGAAAGGTATAAATTTTATGTATTTGTGTGTTTAGGATGCTCGTCAGGATAGAGCCCCTTGATTTGGGACTTCAAGTAACTTTAGGCTGCAAGTAGGAGATTTAAGATTTCCTGCAAGATCTGGTAGCAACCCAGTCTGTCTGTATCTGAATGTCACAGCTGGCTTAACAGTCACTTTCCTGAGCAGGGTTTCTCCCAAGTTAACCAGTTCAGAGTGTTCAAGAGGTAAGCGTGCTTGTGGCTTTTCCAGGGGATCCGAGTTCAGACTCTATTCAGATTGCTCACCAGGGCCTGGAATTGCAGCTCTAGAGAACACAATGCCCTCTTCTGGCCTCCTTGGGCGTCCACACATGTATGACTGATACACACACACATACACACACACACACACACACACACACACACACAAATAAATAAATATAAAACAAAACTTTTATATACAATTGGTACATGTGAAGCTATTACTACCAGCTTTGGAAACAACCTGAATACACAGTCTAGAATCCCTGTAATATTATTTGGTTTTAGACTCTTCTGGCACAATCAACTTGTCAGATAGAGATGGCTGGACTTTTACTACTTTGTGGGTTTCTTTTTTTTCTTCCACCCTTTTCCACTCTTTCCCATCCTTTTAACCCCCTAACACTAGATAGGAGGAAAGAAAGGATAGAGGAGAAAGGGGGAAATTTTATCATTAGACTATTTACTGCTGATTAGGAGAGTAGAGTTTCTTGGGGGCAAGTCTGATCTTCACTGTCAGAATATCTAGTTTTTTTCTTGTTGTTTCTTCTTTGCGTATAATGACTGAACAAACCAAAGCCAACGGCAATTAACGGCATCCAACTGCCAACCATCCACTCACCTGTGGGGGCTCTAGCATGGATATATCCTCTAAAAAGCTCCCAGAATTGCAAATGTCACACACTCACAAAAATTATCCACAGTTGGCAAAATCATGGCCCTGCTAAAGCACGAGGCAAATCATAGTCTGCTGCTTCAAAGCAGCTACATATTCCTCACCTGGAATTAAAATGAAAACATATTCCTACAATATTTCTGTGTTTTTTTTTTTTTAAATGAACTGAAATTCCAGAATTCTTACTACAAATAGAAGAGAACTTTGTTGTAGAACAATCGCTGCAGGCTTTGAGCCTATTCTGGCTTTTAGGAAATAATCAAAATGTAATGATTGAAATAAAGTGCTTGTTTGTATGTGTTATGACTTACTCCTGTAGCTATTTATGTGTTGAAATTTCACATTTTTAGATTGGGGAGCACAATCTTCAACTGCAAAAGATCATTGACATTTTGGATTCCATTAAGGAGAAGGTAAAATTAATTACTATTAATTAATGACTATCGGCTTTCTTCTCTCCTGAATTCTTTCATTTTCTTTTGAAGTCCTACTCAGTAGACACAGCATATCCTACATTCTTTGAAGCAAGTTTCAACTTACTGGACCAATACTGCAGAAATAATTTACTTTCACTTATCTTTTCAAAGTTGTAAAGAGCCTAATATCTAAAATATCACCAATAAATCAATGCAGATTTAAGTTCTAATATCATAATTTTATAAAGAAGACAAATTAGAACTTATTTAAAAGACTTTATGTAAAATAATTTTTAATTATTTTACATAATTATTATTTATTTTTATATATTATATTTATTATTATATTATCACATTATTATATTATATATTATATAATATATTATAATAGTATATATTATATAATGTATTTATTATTATATAATATGATTTATTATTTATTAATTATTTTAATTTTAATTTTAAATAAAATACTTTTTCCGACTCAGAAACTCTCTATAATTTCATACTAGTCTGTATTCCTTTTGGAGCCCAGGCTGACCTTGAACTCATGATTCCCCCTGTTTCTACCTCTTGACTGCTAAGACTATAAGTATATGTCATTATACCTGACTTTCTTGTCCTTCTTAAATAAATTTATAGAATTCACTACTTTATCTGACCGTTTGTGAATTAAGGCAGAAATTTGTTTTTCTAAAATATTAATGGATGATAGTAATTACACAGTGAGTGTGTATGTGTGTGTGTGTGTGTGTGTGTGTGTGTGGCTATCTCCTTTGTAATCTGTAACAATCCTCTTTTTCTTTCTTCCTAGGGGAAACAAACCCGATTCACAAATTTTGACCCGTTGTCTCTGCTTCCACCATCCTGGGACTACTGGACATACCCAGGTTCTCTGACAGTTCCACCTCTTCTTGAAAGTGTCACATGGATTGTTTTAAAGCAACCGATAAATATAAGCTCTCAACAGGTAAGTTAATTCTTCCAAGTTGCTGGTGTTGTTACCAGAGGAAACTTCTAAATCGTTTTTAACACTGTTTTTATTTCTGCCATATTTTGAAGTCTGACATTTTCTTTCGTTAATTAGGTGAATGGTTGGACTAGGTAAGATTTGCATCCCCACTTCCTCTCTCTTTCCCTCTCTCCCGTTCTTTCTTTCATTCCATCAGATTGTTCTACATAGCCTAGCTTAGCCTTGAAATTGGGATCTTTCTGCTTCAAACTTCCAGGTGCTAGGATTACAGGTATGTGTCACCATTGGAGGCACATGGTTTTGACCTCTTAACCTCTGAGCTCTCCCTCCAGACCCTGGTATTGATGTCTTTATTGACCTTCTGTATAACTTTTACTTTAATAACTGCAGAAATGTTACGTGCTTAAACTTTAAGTGGTTCTCAACCTGTGCATTGTGACCCCGGGGGGGGGGTACACATCTGATATCTGCACAGTAGATATTTACATAACAATTTATAACAGTAGCAAAATTACAGTTGTGAAGAAGCAACAAAAAAATTGTCATGGTCGGGGAGGTCAGTACAACATGAGGAGCTGTATTAAAGGGTTTCAGCTTTAGGAAGGTTGAGAACCACTAGTTAAAGCCTTTTTGAGTATAAAACATCATTTTAAAGGCCTGATTATTGTTTTTTTTTTTTTTTGTTTGTTTTTTTTTTTTGTTTGATTCATTTGAGATAGAAACAAGCAGATACAGAGAGGACAGCTAGTAGAAAGGTGTCTCAAAAAAGGCACCCCTCTCTTCCCTCCTCGGCCCTTAGACTGCTGCTTCCACAGATTCAGAACACTGACATCAGGGCCAGGCACAGCCCCCTGAGAAACGTGCATGGCTAGTTGCTTGGAGAAGAGGAAACATACTAAAACCTTCAAGATGGTAGCTCTCTTGTCAAGGGTTTCTGCTGCCATAGTGAACGTTTACTTTTGGCTTTTGTTGACAAGACTTTTGTGGCACTGCCTAACAGAATGCTGCTAAGAGCATTTACTCAGAGGTTTTCCTTTGTAAATTTTTGTTTATCTTTCAAAGTGACGGGGATAAAACACAGGGCCTTGCTCATGTGAAGCACTTGGTCACTGAGCTGCACCCCAGGCCTCATTCTTCTGTTATATGATTGTTGAGCCCTCAGAGTAGGCCACAGGATCTAGAGTCTAAGGATGTCCTAAGTCCTTAGAAATGTGTTCCTGAATATTGAGTTTCTTAGCAGATAGTGTCTTGTGTCTGTTCAGCTTTTTAGAATTAGGCACTGTAGTCTTCAAAGCATGGAGTCTAGTTATTTTTGTAGTGAGTTACCGCACCTAGGCCTGTGTATGTGTCTGTGCATTCTTCACCTTACCTCCTCAATTTAAGTCTGGCTTACATTTCCATAGTCATCTCAGGACAAGGTTTCTCTTGGGGTGAGCACTGAGCACTGAAGTTGTGCTGAGTGCTCTCCCTCATTGCCGTTGTAATTAGGGTTATAGACTGCTTAGTGCATAGTTATTAAAATACTTCATGAACATTTGGATAAAATCCAGGACTCCAGGGCTGGAAACATGGCTAAGCACTTAAGAGTACTGGCTGCAATACCAACAGAGAAGCTCACATGGTCTGTAATTCCCGTCCCAGTCCCAGGGAGTCCAGTGCCCTCCTCTGGCTTTCGTGGGAACCAGGCATGTGAGTTGTGCACAGACATATGAGCAGACAAAACACTCATATACATTAAATGAATGAGTAAATAAACATTAAAAATCCAGGAGCCCTATAAATTTTGTTCACCTAATAAGAAAAAAATAATGGCCTGATACTGATTCAGTGGCCTGATAGAGTTAATTTTCTTTCTTTCACTTGCTAGTTGTTTACTTTTGCTCATTTGTTAATCTTCACTAATTTAGGTATGATAACTTCAAAATGGCTCATGGCAAGTGGATAATGTTTCTTTTCATAGTTCAAGAACATCTTTATTCTTTAGACACTTGGGAAATAGCTTTTTATTATTGCTGTTGTTTTTATCCAATCCATAGGTGATTTAGAAGAAAGCATTATCAAAATACACAATTTAGTTCTTTAAAAAGAATAAAATGAACCTTACTAAAGTAACTCCCTACAAAGTTAAGGATTATAATTGCCTCAACTGTGGATTCACTGCTGGGTGTTATTTGAGGCTTGTTGAACTAAAATTGTTAAGGCAACTTACTTGCATGCAAGTATGTGAAAGAATAGCTTAATAGTACATCCCCCATGGATTGGCAGTTTCCTCTGAAACATTAACTTAATTGACTGCAGCTGGGACACTGTTAGCTATTTCATTCTTAACCAGACTGAGGGAGATATTTAATGACCACTCAAATTACTATTAAGATTTAAGGAATGAAGAAAAGAATATTTTAAAATTCCAATTGAAACTTAATCATGAGGAAAGAAAACTCTGAGATGAAGCCCATAAGAGGCCATGCCATGAAATAGTGAATGAGGATGACTTCCAAGATGTCAAGGTTGTCAAAAGCAAAAGGAGACTGAGACAAAGAAGTGGACGGGAATTTGGCTCTGCGGTAGAGCACTTGTCTAGTGTGCCGGATCACTTTGGGTTCAGTCCCCAGTGCTGCAAAACAGAAGAAGGGAAGGGACAAGTCATTATTAGGCACAAACAAAGGCCATTTGAGTAAAGGAGAAATCAGTCAATGATGCCATCTTGATATGCGACCAACAATTATGGAAAGTTTGCCATATAATGTAAGATGTGGTTCATAGGAAAACTGAGTCTGGGTTAGGTAGGAAATACTTGTAGTCTCTTTGCAGTAGATCTGAAAATCTCAGTTATTCCTAAAATATAAAGCTTATATAATACGAACGATGGAAGACTCGTTTTTTTATATAAAGACAAAAAAATCTTATTGCTTTAAAGAATTACTCAGCAATAGTAATTTTTAAAAACATTTAATTCTGTATATATTTTTATTTTCCTGTGTGTGTGTGAGATGTGTGTATGTGTGTGTGGGGGGGCTTTGTGTGTTTCTCTGTGTGTGTGTGATGTTGGTGTATATGCATGGGAATATGTATATGCCCCAGTGTGCATGTGGCTATCAAAGGCAAGTGTGTGGAGTTGATTCTCTCCTTCTACCTATTTGTGGGTTCTAGGGATTGAACACAACTCATCATAATTGTGTAGTAAGTGACTTTACCCCTGAGTCATACTTCCAGGCCCCAAATGGTTCTTAATCTTAGTGCTGCCATCTCTTTCTTTTGAAAATCATGAAAACATATTGTCTGTGTCCATTTTTTTCTACTCCACCATATAATGATACCAGCTTTGAAGAGTATTCCCTAATCCGTTGTCATATTCTTTCCCCCACCAGAGGTTTTTATTACAGTGTCTTGTGAATTCACTGTTTGACCTAAACAGAAAATCGGGCTTAATTTAATTTTCTTAAATCTCTTAACTTTTCTTATTTTAATGTGGAATATTTTTTTCTTGATTTGGTTCAGTTGTTGGATCTTAACTTCTTGTTTCAGGGGTTTGCATATAATAGATAGACTGCTTTTTGTATTTTGAATAAAAATCTCCCATTTCTTTGGAAGGCTGTTTTTTTCTGCCAGGTCCCTTTGGAGTGCCCTAATCAGAATTGACTTACTTAGTTGTTAAAATTCAATGTGCAAAATACTTGGCTTTGATCCTATTCTTTTAAAAAATATTTGCATACTGTAATAGTCACAAATTTAAGTGTGTGGTTACTGATTTTTGAAGATACATTCTGAAATGTTTAGACTGAAATGATACAATGTCCAGAATTTGGCTCAAAGTCACCTGGATTGAGGAGAGAGACTGCCTGGGAGTATGGATTGAGATCTAGCCATATATTGGTGATTGAAACATTCATGTTACTTTATTAATGTTTCCACAATAAAACTAGGGAAAACAGATTAAAGTAAAAAAAAATTGTAAAGATAGAAATGCAATTTACTTCTGTGGCTCATTCATGATTTAGCTGACTTAGTTGTTAAAACTTTCCAGCTGTCCCTTGAGATTATCATTACTAAGACAGGGTAAGTACATTGTCGATAAGTCATTTGAGGGATTAAATTAAATCTTGTGGTGTAAAGCACTTAAGCACAGTGTCTGTCTCCCTATGTTCCAGAAGGGAGCTCATGTTGATTATTACTCAACTTTGGCAGGCAGTGGAGAGTTCTTAAACATGGCTGAGTACAAGTGTGACATGAAATTACTTAGAGGACTTTGCAAAAAAAAAAAAAAAAAAAAAAAAGGATTTCATCTTGCTGGAGTTGCTGTTCAAGGAAGCAAAGATGTTAGTGTTGGAGCCCAGAAAACCTGCAAAGCAGGTCACACCCACCTCAGCCTCCAGGATGTACTGGGATGTACCTGCCAAGAATGGGTGGGTGCTGAGTCAGCCTTGTGAAAGGGGGCATGTTTTCTGCCTGAATGATCCTGTGCCTACATGAGGGGATAAAATATCTTAGCCAGCCAGGTAGGTCATGAAGCCAAAAGAAACTAACCTAAGCAGGGCTTGGCACATCCTACCTAGCTGGGCCAGGTGATGGGGAGAGTACTAAGACAAACTTAGGACTATTAAAAAATGAACAAGCTGGCAGAAGAGAGTTCTGCAGTAAGATGCAGTTCTACACTGGCGAGGATAAAGAGATACAGAAGTGGGGTTCCATAACGAGCTTCTAGAGGAACTGAATGTGTGTGTGTGTGTCTGTGATTGTGTGTATGTAAATGAAAGACAGGTCTTCTGAGCAATCAGTGACATCGCTAGGGAGGCATGTTGTCCTGAGAGGCTCATAGATTCAATCCTGAGGTTGAACTGCATTCTCAACACCATCACCATGACTTGGGTTATGGCCAGGGTGACATTGCCCTCTGACACTGGATTTCATCAAGGACTCTTCCTCATACATCTTATCTGTTTTCAACTAGAGTGATCTACTCTAATGAAAATGACTATTCATAAGTTGTAATCATTTGTTTCCTCATACCCATGTCTGGGATCTTTAAAAAGACGAGGGAATTTCATTTGTGAAAACACAGATCTGATTCTGAGGGGATGATTCTGTGTCCACAGGCCATGGTTGTAAACTACTGTGTGAGTGGTGAGAGTCTGTTTCTCCTCACCTCCCTCCTGGTTGATACTGTACAAGAAATGAAAGAGAATGGAAGCTTAGCTGACGTGGCTCTGGGGTTAGCAAACTAAAAATGGGCGGAGAACAAAGGCTCTCCACCTAACAGTTTACTAGTTTGTCTTTGTCAAAACACTGCAAAAATCTAAAGAAACAGCAAACCTTGTTCTAGTAGGCAGTGTATTTTTGTAGACCACCTGAAGCCAAGATTATTAAGCGAATTTAGCCAATATTTATTTTATCACTGTAGACTTTTGCTAAAAATTAGCAGACAATACTAAACTTCCCCAAATTACTGGCAGTTCATAAATCACATTTACAACAGACAAAATGTGTATAGAACTTTGCAGTAATTACAAGTAGTGCGTGAAGTTATGTTTATTGATATGCAAATATGCTTATAGCATGTAAAAAAAACAGACTTCAATGTTTGAGCACCTTTTGTAATAAAATATGTCAGATGTGTGTTGTGAGAGGGGACATGTGGAAAACTATTCTGCAAAGCCCAGTGGGTCTATGTAGAGCACATCCCACTTTTACAGCTTTGATCTTCAAGTGAAGAATGTTTCTGTACTTGATTTTGGATTCATCGTTATTTATATACTGAGGAATATCTAACAGAACAATTCTTTATGATCTGTGGCCTATAATTTAGAAATTTTAAAAAAATTTTATTTATGTTTATTTTATGTACATTTTATGGTGTTATGTACATTTTATGTACCTACGTGAGGGTGTAAAACTCCTGGAAGAAGAGTTACTGAAAGTTGTGAGCTGCTGTGTGGGTGCTGGTAATTGAACCCAGGTCCTTTAGGAAGAGCAGTTAGTGTTCTTAACTGCTGAGTCAAATCTTCAGCCCCCAGTAATTTAGAAATTTTACATTGCAATATTTTTAGCTGCGGGGAGAGGAAAGACTATTTAACTCTTTTACCTTTTCCACACACTTCGTTAAGATTGGCGAGACTTTCTCGAGTGAAATTAATTCTGCTCTGATTTCAACAGCTGGCCAGATTCCGAAGGCTCTTGTGCACAGCTGAGGGTGAGACTCCGGCTTTTCTGTTAAGCAATCACCGCCCGCCACAGCCTTTGAAGGGCCGGAGAGTGAGAGCATCTTTCCATTAGCAGCCAGCAATGGGTTAGCCCCTCCGGGAACACAGAGGTCGCCCATAATACAGCTCAGACGTTCCTACTGATGGCTTTTCTGGACTTTCAAGTTTATGCTTTCCACGTTCCCAGCAGCTTCTGCACCACAGAGAAAACCAGCGGTCTGACATAACCTAGCTCCTCACGCCTGGATTTTCACCAAAGCATGTCCAATCAGTAAACACTGTTGGATACATATTAAAACCACAGAGTACATCTGCTTCAGCCTTTATGACAAACCTCAAGCTTGTTGTAGCCTCTGGCTGACCCTATCCCATTTAATAGTGTTTGATAAAAACTTAAAATTCACTTTGAAATGGTATGGATTTCTAAATAATCAGTTCTTACAGTTTTGATATTGTCCTGATTAATCAAGAGTATATGTTTCCTTTAATACATTTTTTTCTCAGATTCTCATTGTGTGTTGTAATATAGTGTACGACACAAGACATACAAGGATTAGGATAGAATAATGTGTCCATGACTCTGAGCAAAGTTACCTACAGTTTTATGAAGACTCCCTCAGGTTATGAACAGCTATTTAAGGCATTTCAGGTAATATATTAATCTAAGAATGCTAATGACCACCTAGGTGATGAGTGATGGATTTCATGGCAATGGTGGTTGACTCATGGCATGAATACATTTTAGACCAGAAGCTTACCTAGTGCCCCTGCAGCAGAACTGCCCTGAGCTAATGAACAGGTTCCTACATTTGCCCCTGTTGTAGCAGATCAGGGAGCGACTCTATGTCTTCTTCCTGTCACTAGTGAGAAAGGTGAACCAGGTCTCACATGAATGCCTACGCCAACCAATACATCTTCCTGGCAGAGCTCATTTTCCATTTGTACATGTTACATGATTTTATAAGATACCGTTCTGTACTAATTTTTGGGGCTCTTGGGACCAGAGAAGCTCTAGGGACCAGAGAAGGCTGTTAGCCTAGAGGTGTTGGTAGGAAGAAATCCCTCCTGGTCAGAACACTCAGTTAACGGCACTCTGTCACCCCAATCAGTCAGTCCCTTATGAATCATCTGGTCACTAAGCAGTGGCATTCAAGGGTGGTTCTGGGACTGTGAAGGGTCTGTCTGGCTTCTTCAAGGTGCTGCTGGGGAGGCAGGTAATGCAGCCATGGACTTGGCCTTGGGAGAGTAACACCTCACAGTGTGCCTCTTCTTGTTGGCAGCGCTTGCAAGAGGAGAAGGCGTAGGGCCCTTTATGGTGAATAGGACAGGTACACTGGGGACAAAGGGGCTGGTCTGTGCTGCTCATCTCTGGGAGAATGTTATAGCAGGCAACAAGTTCATGGATGCTGGGTTTGGAGGGGACTCCTCAGAGACATTGAAGGTGGTGTTGAAATCACAGGTGGGTAGGGCCAGACGAGTAGAGCAGTTCTGTTAAGGCAGACGTGCCCAGGGGTACCTGGCTTTTAACGACTGTGGCTGGGCAGACTCGAGGTGGGACAGGAAGGAGGAAGAGGCCCTTTCTCCTTTGGAGTTCTGGGTTCAGAGGAAGGCTGGGCCTTAGAGAGCTAAAGCACAGAAGGAAGGACTGGGGCTGCTAGGCTGCCTGACTCTGTGGGGTTCAGTTCCCTTTTCTTCTCCTCGATATGATCTTGGCACATCTCGTTTGAGGCACAGTCAGGTGTGAGTGGGATCCCCAGAGCATATGTGAGGCTGTTCAGTTGCTTTGCCATGGTCCGGATAATTGGACCACAGTACCCTGAAGTCTTAGCCTCTGAACACAGCTCTTGAGCTAGAGAGTTTCCCATGGCCAGACTAGGAGACCCAGGAATCTCCATCTCATGTTCAGTGTTTTCTCCATGTACCAAGTACTGCAGGGTTTCAAATTCAGGGATCATGTCAGGGGGTCAGGAGGTTGGCCACCAGCAGCAGGACGAATTGTCGTTGGGCCAGACACAGTACCAGGAGGGCCAGCTGCTTAGAATGGTCCCCGTGCAGTTTCTGTGGTGAGTGTTGGCTCATGGAGAACTGGACTTAGGGAACCTGGCAGGTTCCTGCTCTGGGGTCTGGGTTGGAAACTGCTTGTCTTGTAGGGACAGCTCCTGCTCTGAAGCATTTTTTTTCCACAACCCCCTGTCATTGGACATCTGCAACACCTTTCCTTGTTTGCTGGCCCTGGTGTCCTTGGTTGCTCACATGTCCCCCCCTCCCACCAACAGGGATCCTTCCGACCCAGGAGAGAGCTCCCCAACACCCTCTTCCACCGAATCAATCCCCCCCCCCCACCGCGCGCTGTGCTTTCAAATTCCATTTCGAGTAAATTGTAGGATAATGCCTACTATTACATAAGATGAGAGCCCAAAGATTAGAACGGACACCTCAGCCATTGTTTTCCCATGAAATGTCTGAGTTAAGGCTTTGAGGAAGACTCGCATACCGTAAATATTTAACGAATTGGATATTTAAAGGGTTTATTTTATAAATTTGTTAACTGTCATTCTGAGGTGAAATGCAGCAAAGCTAATGTAACAAAAAAGGATATCTTTTCAGAGTTAAAAAAAGGCAGTATTAACCCACATTTTTATAACCAGAGGTCATTAAAATCATTTTTTAAGATATCAGTGTTGGGTAGGGAGGCATGTCTTTAGTTTGGAGCAACATGCTGGGAAGCATTATAGTCAGAGAAGGAGTCTAAATGTGTGAAGGTAGGGACTTGGATGACATGAATGTCAACACAGTTAGTGACTCTTCTTCACTGCAGCATGCTGTCTGCTCTGTAATGTATATCACACTACAGTGGGCTAAAATCATTCACCTAGCACTGGTTTCCTTGGTGATCATCTGCTTATGTACATGTCTTAGAGGCAGAAGGTCAGTGCTTTAATATTGCCACAGTGTTCTCTTTAAATAGAAGTTACTCATGGTGGCTCTCTTGTTTCCCACAGTACCCACTGAATTTGTTAAGCATTTTGTATTATAGTTTGCATTGGATTCAACCAAAATAAAGAAAATGAGAAAAACACTTGCCAGTAGCAAGGATTTGATATGCAACAAGTAGAACTGATTATATATTTTACACTGCTTAAGCGGAAATATTCCCAATTTACAAAACATTTCAAATCCAATGCAAAGCAAAAACAAAACAAAAAACAAACCAAAACATTTCCTCTGAATTGTTTTAAATCCATCCTGAGTCCTCACAGTTTTGGTATATATATATCAGTGTCCTCAAGTTTTGCAAACTGAATAAAGAGTACAAAATTCTCAATGTTGGTAAATGAAAAATACTTTTCATTGCACTGGATTAAATGGATGTTTCTCTGGGGTGGCTGAAAACTCATCTTTGACTCTCTGAAGATGACTGTATCAGCAATGGATCCTCCACTCCTGTTGTTCATTGAGAGAAGTCTTCTGACAGAGCCTCAGATTTCCTTCCTTTGCTCCTGTTAGAGCAAATCACCCAGTGGAAGTCTGTGGGTTCAATAAATATCCCTGTCAATGAGTTCATTTTCAGTACAAGTTATTCTGGTGGGAAAGCAGTTGTTTCCTTTTAGCTGTGCTAACAGCATGAAAATTGAAAAAAGTCTTGGAGAGTATATGTCTCCTGAAATCAGAAGGATTCAGCCCTAAGTTTCTGATGGAAAGTGGGACTTATAAAAAAAAAAAGCCAAGGTCTGTATTTCAATGAAAACTTCTGGAAATTGTTATAATAATTAAAAAATAAGTGTTGGGCTATATAATGTTTATTATTAGCCCTAAGATTTTCATGGTGGTATTATCTAACCCGCTGTCGCAAATAATGAGACACAGACACCTGTTAGATTTTATAATTGCCTTAATGACCTTGATTCCGGAAGATATTTAACCCATACTGTCTCAATAATGTAACCCCCATCTCCCAGCCCTTATTCAATGCTATCCACCTTAATCATCTCTATCTAGTATACCTTCCATCCATAATTCCAATACACTTGCTTATAATTTTTATCGGTATTTTCTTCAGCCATGCCATCCTTGGAGTCCATCAACTCAGATCATATAGTTACTTCTCCACACTAACCCATCTTGGCATCCTCCTTCCTCCTCTTTTCCCATCCATCTCTGTCCAGTGATTCTCTTGTACGCCAAAGCCTAGGAACTTTAGCCACACCTACCCTATTCAGCCCTGCCCAGGTATAGGCCTTTAATCAATGAATCATGCAGGTTTACAAAACAAGAATAGGTGTAACCAGATCTTGAGGGCCAATAATTAGCATCAAAATAAAGCTTCAGAGCAACCCCCATAAAGAAATAACTACCTTTATGCAAGCAATTCTAGTCATTTATGGTTGACTGGTGATGGAAGGAATTGGAGGTATAGGGAGCCTCTTGGGTCCTCTGCTACACACACACACACACACACACACACACACACACACACACACACACTAATTGCTAGCACTAAAATATGACATGGTGTCAATTTCCTCACAGGAATGCACAGTTTACTCAATATTTCAAATGGAGCGTTTAAATGCTTGGAATTAATCCGCAAGGAAAGGAAAGTACAAAACCCAAACCAAACCAACCAAATAAACAAAACTACAGGACAGGGAGACAATGATGGGATCAACAAGATCAGTAAGCTTTCACATTCCTTATTGAGAGTCAGTGTTCCCTATGGTATTCTAGAGGCCATGGCCATACAGCTGCAGTTAAGTAGGTTTGAAGATCATCATCATCACCATCATCACTATGCTCACCATCACCACAACCTTTGTCATTATTTATCTATCAAGAGTCCCAGCTCCTTTCTGGAACTTTTCTTGAGGCAGAGAAATATGGAGAACACTCTAGAACTTCCCAGTGGTGGTACCCATTATCCCCCTTTGTGTGGACCACTGTTAGGCTGGGCTGGAAATCTCCAGACATGGAAGTCTTTTGACCCCATCTGTCACCTCCTGGAAATTTATCAACCACTCAAAGGATATCTTAGGTACCAATAACTGTATTAGATATAAAAATGAGAGAGACTATCCCTGCTCTCAGGCAGCTCAAATCTCCCTAACTAGAAGAATAGATTTGATCAATCTAAGATATTAAGTTTCTTTTTTTTAATTTAATTTTTTTATTATTAGTTACATTTTATTAACTCTGTATCCCAGCTGTATCCCCCTTCCTTATTCCCTCCCAATCCCACCCTCCCTCCCTGACCTCCTCCCTGCCCCTTTCCAAATCCACTGATTGGAGAGGTCCTCCTCCCCTTTCATCTGACCCTGTTTTATCAGGTATCTTCAGGACTGGCTGCAAAGTCCTCCTCTGTGGCCTAGCAGGACTGCTCCTCCCTTGGGGTGGGGGAGGTCAGATATTAAGTTTCTTAATTTGGTGTCTTTATGGAGTACCATGGCAACATGGAGAAGATGGATAAGTTAAAAGCCAGGAAGTTTTTTTTCAGGTGTGATGCATTTC